CTTTGGATGCTTGGCGTTCATCATCTTAGAGGTCTTTTCCAACCTTAATCAACCTACGATTCTATGATGCCCATCCTACGTGGCGTGGGAGGATTAGTTTGGAGAAGAGGAGGCTGAGAACCTTCACGCTCTCTACAACTACCTGAAAGGAGGTTGGAGTGAGGTGGGTGTTGGTCTCTTCTCCCAAGTAACTAGTGATAGGACGAGAGGCAATGGCCTCAAGTTGCATCAGAGGAGGCTCAGATTGGATATTAGGAACAATGTCTTCACAGAAAGAGCGGTCAGGCATTGGACCAGGCTGCCCAGGGCAGTGGTGGAGTCCCCATCCCTGGAGGGGTTCAGAAACTGTATAGATGTGGCACTTGGGGACATGGTTTAGCAGGCATGGGGGTGTTGGGGTGGATGGTTGGACTTCATGATCTGTCTTTTCCCACCTATGATTCTATGAGTCTTCCTTGGGTAGCACCCGGAACGCTCAGCCTGTTCTTTCTGGGCAGCTGATGGTGGGTCCATCCAGCCTCGGCTGGTCCATCCGTGCCTTGGATGAGCAGCGGGGCAGACGTGGAGCCTCTCCTCTCTGCTCAGAGCTGCGGCCTTGGTGGGTCTGTTGGCTCTGCTGATGGGCAGAAGAGGTTTAGAGGTTGCCTGCAGCTCCATGGTTGGAGGTGCTCGGGCTTTCCCCTGCTTTTCAGGCAAAGCTTTACAGTGCTGGTGGGTTTGGAGGGCAGAGCTGGGCTGGGGGGAGCTGGAGGAAGCTATGGCCTGGGGTCACCATGACCATCTGCGGATGGCTTGGGGCTGCTCCTTCCTTCTGCCCGCACACTGACGAACGCTGCTGGCGAGGAACCGGCTTCAGAGTTTCCACCACGGGATGACTTTGTGTCTGGAATAAGAAGCTGAGAGGTGGTCTGCTGGTCAGAGGGGTCCCACGGGCTGATATGGCTCCTGCCTTTCCCCAAAAAGCTGGATCCGCTGCCGGGGTGGGATCCAAGCCTCACCTTAGGCTGGTGACAGGCCGAGGAGGTGACAGTGACGCTCTGCCCGCAGGACGGGGCTTCTGGAAAGGACCCGAATGTGAGGAGTGGCGGGAGGAAGGCTCTGGTGGTGAACACCCAGAGCCGTGCGACGGGTGACGGGCTCTCGCCAAAGCCCG